ACTGTTGGCCTTATTATTGAAATTGTCCTTATGCAGGTATTATATAACTATAAACATTGCAATATCTTAACTTAATAATTTTATCTGTATTGATCCTGAAAACAATCAAAAAAAGTCTGCATGGTTTATAATGTACTACACATTGTACTTAAAACTATATTTTTGGCCCATATTTCTTTATTCTTATTATCATTATCATTTATCATTGTCATTATCTATTTTTTTAAAGGCTAATGATTGTGGAAGCTCCACAAATATGGAATTCATGGGTCACCAAAAAGCTATTCTCTTCCTTCTTGGAACAGGCCTTGTTATCAAGTCATTTGTTTCTGACAGACACAAAAGTATAACTAAGTGGATGCGAGGAATGCCCAAAACTTTGTAAAAGAATGGGAAAGCCTGTTATGGACCACTTTTTTGACCTTTGGCATATTGGGAAAAGTAAGCCTAATAAAGAATTTGATGCTAATTAACATTAGATAGGTTTAGAGTGATTGATTAATTGGAAACTTTATGTTAACTTACATGTACATATTTTCATCGTGTATTATTATCTCATTTAGAGATTAAAAAGGTCCTTGCAAAATTAGGAAAAGAGAAAGGATGTGAAGCTATARCCAGATGGAGTAAGGCTTGTGTCCGACACTATTACTGGTCTGCAACTTCAACTCCACCAAAGAAAGGAGATCTTATTGTGGCAAAATTCAAGGCATTTTTGTCCCATATCATTAATGAACACCATAATCWTCCTTCAAAGCTGTTTAATAAATGCAGCCATGGCCTAATCACAACTCCACGATTATGGTTGACTTAAGGTCTAGTATACACCTACATGTTCTTAATCTTATATAATACTTATAAATAAAGCATAAAGCTTCAACCTGACAATACTTGGTGTTATATGTATATYGCATGACAATCATGCAAGTGTAAATACCCCAATACACAGCAATATAATCATATTATGTCTAGTTTAAGTAAATGATAGCAATAATCRCTGCATAGTTTCTGAAACATTTTTTACATTTCTCAGGTTCAGAGGTGTACCAGAAGTTGTGCGAGGCACTAACAAAGGCTTCACTATTGAAAGGCATAGAACAGTCTTCACCAGTTGTTCAAACTAGTGCCCTTGAAGGGTACCATAGTGTTGTAAATCAATTTGCACCTAAAATGCTGGCATATTCATACCACGGCATGTTTTGCAGGTAACTAAATATCTCATAAGATTATAAAGTATAGAACTACTAATTATTTTGAAACCATCAAATCCACTTATCCTTATCCTTGTAAACTTTCTAACTTCACAGAACCATCCTTGCTGCCCTTCATTTTAATGAAAATATCCAACGTCATGCAAAACTTGACATAAATGGTCAGCCTAAACTGTCAGTAACATATCCAAAGTTTAAGGATGGAGATGCCACCGTAAGGGAAGTTAAAGTACCTCAAACATATGGTAAAAAAATTATAACMCAAGCACTTTCTGGTTTGCTAAGCATAAATTGCAGATAACTCTTTATATTGAAATCTCTAAATCAGATTATGTGTCCAAAATCTATGAGGTTATGATAACTACACCAAGATCTGAGCTAAAAGAGTTAGCCAATGAGCTTAAACTAAACACTCCAGCAGCAATGCACACTAAATTCACTGAAAAAGAAAATTMACAAGAAGCAAAGCAAAAACACAGGCGAAGAAAGGCTATGGCAACAAAACTTGTCCCTGCAACATGCTCAGGTAATTTTTCATTAGTAATAATGATTATTGTTTTACTAACATTTTTTTTTTTTTGATTCTTTGGTAACTTCCTTAAATAAATGTAAATTACCATGACGATAATGATAACGATAATCCTAATGATTGTTCAGAAAAATGTCAAGAACTTAGTAGGGATTAGTATCCAGAAAATATAGACTATAAAGGATAATAATAAAACTAAGGATAATGACAAAGTCAAAACAAAATACATATTTTTATCATTTCACAGAAGAAGAATATCAAGCTGCTTTGAACAAACAAACAGCTAAAAAGACAAGAAAGCCACCTGAATGTAGAAAATGCCATGAGCCACTTAAAGGTCACCCAAAAGGCAGATACAATAGAAAGGAAGACCTATAAACTAAAGTAGTAGAAACATGCCCACTAAAASCATGTTTGAACAGCCATATGAGAACATTGCACATAACAAAAACCAGAACCATCCGACAATTTGGCATATAGTAAGACGAGTGATAATCCAAGGATGGAAATTTGTACAGTATGCTTTCCATCCTTGGATTATCACTCGTCTTACTGTACATAACAAAGCGAAGCAATATAAACGCAACTTAAACAGCAACTCTTAGAACTCAACTAAAACTAATACTTAGCTTATATATGTTGATGACCCTCCATTCACTGCACATCTATCTCCTCTTCAGACACATCGTCTTCAGCCTTTAATAAAAAACAATAAGATTTAGAAGAAGAAAAGAGTACTTTATAAGAATAGCAGATGTCCCTGCGTAAATGTAACACATTATGAAAGATGTGATAATTTGAAAATATTCTGCATGTACATTATGGCTGTTTTTTTTTTCTCAGATTTTGTGTTGATGGTTCTCAATGGCTCAATCAAGGTTCTATGTAAGCAAATGGTTATACTTGTTTTGTGTGTGTTTATAATACAAACAAGAAAAKTCTATTTTATACCCTGGTTGTTATTCTCTGAATGATCTGTATCCTCCTCTGTCTCCTCTGATGAATACCCTCTATAACTAAATGTTTAATGGTAGCAAACTGTAATTTACRATTACTATGTCATTCAATGAAGATATTAAGTGTGGTTCATAATCTAAGCTTGCAGCATGCAGCCTACCTGTTGTCTTCACTGGGRAAT